TAACAGATGATTTTTTTTAATAAATAGATGATCTCAGAATAATGAGTCACCGGGCCCTCTGTTGAGAAGGAGCGGACCCAGGCCAGGCCAAGGCTGTGATCACACACAGGGCTCCCTCTCTTGGCCCTAAGAAGCTCCCTCTGCTTTCCCTGCCTGCCCTTCCATTCCTGGAGACACAGGGCTCATTCCCCAAGAGCCGCCCCTCCTCCCTGGAGTTTCCTGGGCCCCACCCTTCCCTTGCTCCAGGCAAGGTGTCTTTCCAGGGTCAGAATCCCAGAATGACTAATCCCTGCAGCTGCCTGAGGTCCTCCCACTGCCCCAAGTTGAGCAGGCCCCACCAGTTCCCTCGCCATGCTTCACCAAGTGCTTGCCCGCTCAACAGTTGGTTTTCTAAGTAGAGTTATTTTTTAAAGACTTGTGCCGGAGGCCATTCCAGGTCTTCAGGGCTGGCCAAGGGCCAGTCTAGTTTCATTTTCATCCCAACCTCTTCTGCCATGACAGAGTAGCCGGATCCCTCATATTGCTGGCCCCGTGGCCTGCAAGAGTTTTCTAAAGGGTTCTCTGAGCATTTGGTCACTACAAACCCATAGGGCAGCCAACTGTAAGTTACACCTATTTGCAAGGAGCAGAAAGCCCTTCCCTGAGGCAGATCCTCAGCCTGTCCACCAGGCTGCCTGTGGCAGGAGACCAGAAAGGCAGCTATTCCTTGAAGAATCCCAGGGTATCTAATGGTAGAAGAATCCAACACAACCCTCCAGTGCAGCAGACGGGAGACAAGGTACAAAGGATAACTGGTTGCACTCCAGGGACCTTAGAGGATGAACAGAGAAGCAGGAGGAAACCTCTCTGTCCTCTGAACACAGGGGGTGGTGAGGAGCAAAGTAAATCAATCAAAGCCACCTGGAACAGGACCCCCTAGCAAGGAAAGAGATGCTATTTTCGGTTTCTAAAAAGATACTAGTAACCGTCAGGAAAAGCCCACGTAAAACCGGATATGAGAGAGGCCTTTGGAAGCAGATAAAGGTGTGTTTGCTGCCTCCTGGCCTTGAGCCTCTTCACTGGGCTTTGTCCAGCTGGGTTTGGAGATTGAGGTCTGGGAGTGGGATTGTATATTTGTTCCAACTGATACTGGAGTTGTTTGCTTTGAACAATGTGACTTTGTTCCTTTGTTAAATGTGGCCAGCAGCATAACTGCTGCTTAGGGAAGGAACAAACACATTGGGGTCTTGCTGAGAGTAAAACGGTGTCTTACAGACTGGATATTGCTGCCCTGGCAACTTGGCTGTGGGACACAGCTTCCAGGTTGGTTCAGGGAGGGGGGTGCCTGAAGCAGCCTGGGAGTGAGACTGTGCTCCAGGTCCAGGAGAGGTGAGTGTGGCTGGCTCCAGCAAATGCCTGCACTTGGCCTGCCCAGGACAGTGGCCTCTCTCCTCCTGAGGACAAGAAACCCGTGTTCCATTCCAATGACACTCACTCTGGCCACTCCTCTCAGATGTAGTGGGGTGGAGGTGTTGAGAGTCAGAAATAATTGCCCGATGTGCCCCACTCTGGGCGAGGACCCTTTGTGACCAGGTTCAGGACACAGTTCTGCAGGTGTCAGTGCAGAGGACAGATACCTGAGCACATGGGTGGGACTCTAGGTCATGCCCATGTGAGAGCAGAGAGTAGAAGAAGGGAGAGATGAGGAAACGTAGACACTGAAGACCCGGCGTCCAGTGCAGATGATGGGGTTCTCCACTCTGTTGACCAGGCGGGGGGAGGGCAGCGCCTCCTCCACCCTTCTACCCCTGCCTCCTTCCCTCCCTCCCCACTCCCCCAGGCTTGATCATTGACTCAAGACTGGATCTTGGCTGCTGGAGCAGTCTCTTCTGCTCATGGCTGGATCCTCTCAGGGACACTTGGACATGCACAGCGCATGGGTGTGATATAAAACTGGGCTCTGGAAAGCCCTTATTTGAGCCACAGAGAAAAATCACTACGTTTTCAATAAAGCCTGTGACTGATGCACACAATGGTGTAGGAACATGCGTGGCGCATCTTGGCCTGTCTTGTTGAACCGGACCAGTCTAAGGAGCTGCCATGCAGCACCTCTATTGCTCATGAGCAAGTCGAGGAGCTGATGGAGAAGGAGCAGCAGTGTCCTTGGCCCCTCCATCTTAACTTTCTAAGTCTTTCCTGGCTTCGAGGAATTGCTGCCTGGAACCATGTAAATGACAGTTGGATGAAGACTGGCCCCCAGCCAGGCAATGGCGTGGCCGTCACTGCCCCAATGTTTATTGTCAAAGTCTTGTGTGGTTTGGCTGCCACCAAAAAACCCATCAGTGCACTAAAAATAATAATGAAAACCAAGAAGAAAGGTGTGGAATAAGGAGCAAACTCAAGAAAGATTTGTATAAGAAGAGAAATAGATGGGGTGCGTGTAGTTAATACCAAAACGTTGGTCTAACTGTTCCTGATGTGTTTGGATCATCCTACCACAGAGAAGTCAAGACACCACCATTCTGCACCCTGTTCTGTGGGCTCACCCAACCTGGCTCGGTCACAACAGGCGCGTCCAATGGCTTCTAGCATTTGGGGAGAACAGGCAGAACTGTTTGTGCTAATGATTTAGTGAAACATCATGGAAGTGTCCAGGTAGGAGCCCTGGAGTACCGTTCTTTTCCATGCAGCTTGCTCATGGGTTGCTAGCCCACAGTGAGTCCTGCCCACTTCCAATTATTTTGATCTTCTTGCAATTGTTGTTTGCTTTGGACTGAATATCTGTGCTCTCCACCCAAATTCCCAAATGCTCATGTTGAAATCCTTACTCCAAAGCGGATAGTATTAGGAGGTAGGAATATGGGAGGTGATTCGGTCCCAAGGGTGGGGCCCTAGTGAATGGGATTAGTGCCCCTGTTAAAGAGACCCCGGAGACCTTGCCCCTTCCATTAGGTGAGGGCACAAAGAGAAGGTGGCCCTCTATGAGCCAGCAAGTAGCTCTCCAGCCACTGCCACCATCTTGGCCTTCCAGCCCCCAGAAAGGTGAGAAATAAATTTTATTGCTACAAGCCTCCTTGTTTGTGGCATTTATTATAGCAGACCAAGGTACGAGGTTGTCCACCACCACATAATCAACCTCTTATAGCTTCTTCATTCTCTAATGATCTGCATATGACATTTGGACTCTTTTAACATCAGGATATAATGCCAAATCTTGTTCCCTAATTACTAGTGAAAATATTCTTGGATCTGAAGTCAGTTTAAATCTCAGCTTTCCTACTTGCCTAGTTTTATAACCTGAAAAAAAATTTGTTTCCCTTTGCTGTGCTTGAATTTCTTATATGTGAAAACATATTGTAACACAAAATGTGTGCAAAAGTAATTTTTTATATTACTTCAAATATGTGCGCCTTTTTCTCTGCCACCCCGTGCAGACTGTGACTTCAGAGTCAAGAAACATTTACATCAGTTTCGGAATCAAATGCTGTGTTGAATGTTTGTTGATTGACAAGTGTCTCTTCTTTCTTTCTTTTTTCCCCTATCAGTTTGGGTTTCACCAGTGCATTATTATAAGCCAGACATTTACCAGTTACTAGAAGCAACACAAAATATGCTCCCAAGTTCAATGAACAAAAGCAATAGATCTAAATGACAAGCTCCATGTACCAAAGAGGCTGTGCATTCATCTTTCTGTGTGATCGATTTTGGGTAGACGTGAGACCACTTTTCTTGTAAAACAAGCGGTGACTTTGTGTTCTACATAATGTATGTATTCCATTTCTACTTTTGAATCAGCATGGCTCTCACCTAAGTTTACTAATAATAGCTGCATTTATTGAGCTCCTATTAGGCAGTGATGCACTACCACCGAGGCTCCCGGGAACACAGTGGGCTGCAGCGTGGCAGTTATTGGTCTCCATGGTGGAAATATTCTTGCTGTGGCCAAGCTCAAGCTCCCAGCGTGATGCCTCTGGACACAGTGTGCCCCCCACCTGCTAGCAGGTGCTGCCCCCCCCCCACACATGGCACCTGGTGAGACGCACACACTAGCAACAACTCTGCAGGAAGCCGCAGTTGGCATCCATCCCACCGACCAGCAAATATGCTGGGTAAATCCGTCACTGGAAACCCCATGCATAGGAAGAGGTCACTGGGGATCTAAACCCAAGGTCTGTGTGACTCCCCAAGCCACCAGCTCCCTAGGACCCTGCCTTTCTTGCTGCACAGCTGTGCATGAATGAAAAATCATGGCGGCCTACTATTCTAGCTTCTGGCATGATGGGAGGGCAGGGCTGTCTCCAGAGACCCACGACTGCCCACCAAGTCCAGCCCAACCTTGAGACACATGTACTGCCTCACTTCTTAGCAGACAGGAGGCCATGGGCCACTTGGGTGCATTTCCGTGCTGTATAATCAGGATGGTCCCGAGGGCCTACTAAGGGGTCAGTGTGCCAGGAGGAGGGTGTAGGGGGAGGACTTCTTCACAGAAGTGCTTGGAAGGGACACGCGCTCCTGCCTCCCCACAGCTGCCCGCCAGCCGTGTGTCAAACTTCAACCCTGCTGTTGGGGGCAGAAAGGGAGGTTCTAGCACATTCCAACATAGTGTCCTGCAGGTCAAGGCTGTCTCCTGCAGCCACCCCTCCCCGTCTTTAAACCAGGGCCCAGTGGCCTCACCTCTGGCGTAGCCCCAGGGGACCAGGCACTGCTGCCCTGAAGCTGTACTTGACAAGGTGACAGGAGCACCTGCCCTGGTGCTGTTTCCACCCCTTGCTCTAAGACCCAGAGGGGAGAAGCGCTGCTGTTCTCATAGACTCACTGGCAAACAGTTCTATTTCCAGTCTAACCTGAAATGTGAGGCGGCTAGGTAGGAGGGGCGAGGGGACATTCATGTGGGAGCAGCAGACGCTTCTCCCAGGATAGAGCCAGCCCGCTCAGGTAGTGGACTCTGCTTCAGGGCCTGCTGGTCTAGGGGAGGATGTTTGCCCTCAGGAGACAGCAGGGGAGGGCACTGGCTTCTCAGCTGGGAGGGCCGTCAAGATAGCTGTGCATTTATTTTCAGAGAATCAAGATGTCCGAATGAACAACGTAAGACTGTGTTCATCTATTTTTTTTTAACATAAGGGGAGGGTCTCTTCATTTTCAGCATCTCTCCTGAAACCAGCTAGCAGGACAGCCAGAGATGCCACAGGAGTTTGCGTCACAAATCCACAAGTTCTTCTAGGCTTTCAGATGCTTAGTTGTAAAAAAGATGCAAATCTGGTTACCAGAGTTGAGACGTGTAGGGAAAAAATGAAGGCACAGGAGGGTCCCCAGCTGCCCTCGAGCAGCTCATGTCCTGAACCATCCAGAGATGGGAAGACGCGTGAGGCGAGGAGAGGTGTGTGCTTCTGGGTGTGGGGAAGGCCTGCAGATCCAGGAGCAACAAAGAAAAATGACACTCGCAGATGGGAGAAAGACACAGCCTCGGAGAGACTGGTCAGGAACATGCACCTGGCTGTCCCCACAGCAAGTCCAGTCCTACAAAGAAAGGGGGACAGACAAAGGAAGGAAAAGACACGGGGGCGGGGGGGGGGGGGGGGGCGGCTGGAGATTAAACTGAGGACACTTCACAGCATTAACTTCCTTGTAGAGGGGAGACTGAAGCTCCCAGCCTGGGTCCACCTGTACAGGTAGACCACCACCACTGATCCTGCCTGGACAAGCCGGGGCAGGGCTGCCTGCGGGAGAGTGGTCCAGGCTGCCCCTCCCCACCCCGTGACCCCCTCAAGGAGCAAAATCCCCGGGCAGAGGTGACTATCAGCCAGAGGGATATGCTTCTATCCCCGTTTTATGATGGAGAAAAATTGAAGGCAGGAGAAGACCTTGCCCAAGTTCTCTGTGAGGAAGTGGCAGAGCTGGGCCTTAAACTGAGAGTCTGTTGACTCCAGGGCTTCTGCTCTTACCTGCCACACTGTGACCCACAAAAGCATCGTTTTCTGGAAACTTTCATGCATTCGATCCTCGATGGCACAGAGAGCCTCTTCTGTGACAGTGATCAGAAAAACAGTGTCTCAAAACACGCAACATCAGCAAGGCCACGAACCTCAGGAGAGTGGCCAGGCTCATGGCCCCATCTGCCACACAGGGCACCATGCCACACAGTCCACAGGCAAGTCCCAGCAGCTTTGACCCCTTTGGAGAGAGGGCCATGGATTTGGTGGTTCTCCTCGACTCACGGCTACCTGTGAACTGTCTCCTCAAGCGTGTCCACTGGGCTCTGTCTCCCTCTTGTCCTTCCTGTTGTCTTCTGCCTTCCCTGCTCCTCACGGGCAGGCTCTGCTGCGGGATGTGGGCCACCCAGCACTGGGCACCTGTGTCCCCTCAGGGTGGCAGTATGAATTAACAAGGAGTGAAAGCGTGTCGAGGCACCTAGCAGGTTCAGATGCCCGCCTGGGTGCCCTTCTCCTGATCGTCCCTTCCTTCTCTCCTCCTTTGGTTTGCCTTCCCTTCCCTGGGCAGTGGGCCACGATAGTGATTCTGACCCCTTGGACCCTCCAGTCTCTTCTCCAGGACTTAAGTCATGACCAGCCATGACCTTCCTTGGGGAGCTATGAATCGTGCTTGGGTGCGAAGGGCAGTGTAGCTGCTGAGGTGCATAAATAGGAAAACACTTTACTTCAACTATTTTCTAAAATGATTCTGAATTTCAAGTTGGAAGGTCGGCCCCAGTCTCTGTCTTCCTCAAGCTCCGCTGGAAAGGACAGTGAGGTAACTCAGTCCTTAGGAGCTGCTCCCAAAGCAGCGGTTCTGATTCCTGGAAGGTGCCATCTGTACTGGCACCGCTGTCCCTGGAAGGAGGAGGGACAAGTTCTTAGCCTCATCCTGGTGGGAGCACGCTGTGTCCTTGCCCCCGCTGGCTGTGGATGGCCCCAGGGCAGGGGCCTTGCTAAGTCAACCATGAGAACAGAAGATAGAAAGAAGGGTGAAGTGGACCATGGGGGGGGGGGGGCCCAGGGGGAGGGGGAATCTATGCCGACCGGAAGGGGAGCTGGGTGGCAGGGCCCGGGAGGAGGGTGGTGGTGGTTCTTCTGTGGGCCTCCTCCAGGCTCCTTCAGAGATGGCCCTCTCTGCAGAACTGAGCTTGCAGGCCTTTCCAGCTGGTCTGGGGGGCCCAGGAGTCTGGGGAGGCAGTGTGGGAGGCCAGGGCACCAGAGTGACCTCGGGGAGCTCTGTCTAGGAGGAGCAGTCCTCCACCTGCTGCTCCACGGAGTCAAGTTCCTCATGGTTCCATGGCCGGGAGAATTCCATCCAAGGGAAGGGTTCAGAGGCCCTGGCCAGGCCACATCCAAAGTCTCTGAGCCTGGCCAGGAGGCGCTAGGGCCTCCAGCTGTGTCCTGTCTGCCCTGGGAACCTCGTCAGCCCCAGGGAAGGCCCCAGGCTCACTGCTGAACTTATAAGGTAGAAAGTCAGGGGCAGCTGTGCTAGTCCACAGAGCCTAAAGCTGTTCTTTTCATTTAAAACGCTTCAGAAAAGGTAATAAGGACCAAATGGGAAGGCATCACTTCTAAGGGGCCATGTTGGTTGCAGACTGCAGTCAGGCCAAGCCCCGAGAATGGATCCCGAGAATGGATCCTGAGAATGGATCCCGAGAATGGATCCTGAGAATGGATCCCGAGAACGAACCCCAAGAATGGATCTGAGAATGGATCTTGAGCATAGACCCCAAGAATGGATCCTGGGAGGAGAGAAGAAAACCCCCATGCCTCGTCCAAGACATCAGGCTTGAAGGTGTTTTCCTGCAGGGAGACCCAGGCATGGTGGTTCTGCTCTTGCTGGTAACCCAGGACTGGCTACAGCTGAGAAGATTGTCCAGGAACTGATCCAGGTTCCAATTCCAGATGGAATTGGGGACCCTGGAGCCCTGCATCCTCCTTCCAGAGGTTCTGCTTTGGTCCAGTGCAGAAGCTGCCAGCCTTCCCAACAGCACCTCCACCCAGGCAGGGGCGAGCAGGAGAAACACACTCGCTCTCCTTCCTAGGACCTGCAGCTCTCCAACACTCCGGGAGATGGTGAGGCCCCACACACTGCTACCCCTGCCTCACTGTGTCCCTCCGGAGCGCGCCCCTCTCCTGCCACTCAGATCTTCCCAGGTTTCCCCCGCGCCCTGCCTTCCTTCCAGGGAGAGGCAGGTGGGACAAGAAGCACAAGTCCTGTGTATCTGGAGCGCCGCTTGGTTCTTGCTCCTTTCTGTGTGTCCCGTGAGGCAGTCTCGGGGCTCCGAGCACCCCCTTCTCCCACCCTCGCTGCTCCTCAGGCCTTCCTGGGGCCCAGGGGGCTGCAGCCAGGTGGTCAGCGAGAGTGACTTCCTTGCCATCCTCCTGGTGAGGCCCCTCCTGCCACCCAGGCAAAGTCGAGACACCTTTGAAACTGCAGAGAAGGCACAGAAATCCTGCCTGCAGACAGACTGAACTGAGAACCCAATTCTGCCACTTCTGTGACTGTGACACTATCAGGCTTCCTTTGACATTGTCATTGTAGAATGAAACTCATAACTATGTGTGCATGTAAACTACGTGTGTGTGTGTGTGTGTGTGTGTGTGTGTGTGTGGACGATGAGGGATGCCGGACAGCACTCTCACACAGACGAAGCACGGACACCACCACAGCCACACAGCACGGCCTCCAGGGCCCCTCCTCACCCCTCAGGCCACTGTGCATCCCTAATTGTGTTTGCAGCGTCCGGCAGATTCCCGACAGAAGAATTAACCTTTTCATGGGGCGAGATGAAAATGGAATTTTCTCCTTTCAGGTCCACTCACCAGATGGGCCACACACACTGCAGGTTCTGTTTCTGTTTCCCTAGTGACCTGGCTTCAGGGACAGATGCCTCAGGCACGATTACCTTGAACTCCATGTAGCGATGCCACATGAATCGGCCGGGAGCAGGGGGAGGAGAATTCCTAGAAGCCATGTCTACATAGAAGAGCTAGCAATAACTCAGCCTATGCCGAAAAGTCTGGAAATTGCATCAGTGTTCTACCAGATCTAAATTAAATGTCTCCCCAACTTAATTTTCCCTAAGCCTGATCCCCCAAAAGTTCAAAGTCACTTCAACACCACAAGAAACTAATGAAGTGTGTGGAGGCAAAGTTGGGTATAAAGAGACAGAGGTCTTAATCTGTTTATCTTCCATTTGCAAATTTTACAAAACACATCCATGGGAACTGACCTCACCATGGTGCCTCCAGGTCTGCAGATGGGACCACACCAGGGAAAGGCCTCAGTACTCATGGCGAGTCCACTTCTGTGCTAAGGATTTGGCAATGACTAGTAAAGTGCATGAGGGATATTGAGATCCAACTGCAAGGAAAAGCCTAAGCAGAGGCAGGGAGGCCAGAGAGCTCAGGACTGCCTGGCCATCATGGCGGAAGCCCAAGAAGCACATCGGAGAGGCAAGTCAGAGAGGGTGGCCAGTGTCGGGGTCCAACATCCTGGTATCAAGCTTTGAAGATTTTCACACTCGGGATCTAGGGCGAGGACGGCCCCTCTCGGAGCCCTGCTGTGGAAAAATACATTTGGGATGAATGGACAGGCAGGAAGCCCAGCTCAGTGGCATGGGCAGCTCTGTGCTGCCTGTGAGAGTACCTCAGGGCATAACAGCAGGTTGTTTGACAAAACATACACAGGCTCCCTTCTAGCTGAGAACCTTGAGGCAGAGCCCAGCTCCTCTTCCTGCCCTCACCTATTCACCCTGGGACTGGACGTAAGTCCACCTCTGGGAAACCTGCTGCTCCGACCTGTTCTCACTCCACTCAGCTGTTCCCAGGGTCACACCTCTGTGCTCCACACCCCCCCATCCTGCTGACCCTGGGTAACATGGCTCCATGCCAGTCTCCCACCCAGCCAGTGCAGTTCCTGATGTCCCTTGTATAATAAGCGTCATTCCCCTGAAGGTCTAAATTCTCCTTTGAGTCATTTGCATAGAATATCAGCCTAGCAACACTCACCTCAACTGTGCCTTCCTGATCACCCAGGCATTCCTGGGCACTCATCTTCAAAAGGGCCTCTTCTGGGTGCCCTGGGCTCTTTCACAGGAGAGCAACCTCGCCTGCCCACCAGCTGGTGAGTCATGCCCCTGGTGGATGAGCCCAGCCCTGCTGACATTGCTCCTCATGCTGACCACAGGCTTCAGAAAACCTCTCCAGCGAGGGGCTGCTTGCTGATCTCCTGAAGCCCATGCTCCCACGCCCTGAGGAGGAGCTGAGCGCACCAGGGTGCAGCTTTGCTAAGATCAAAAGGAGCTGCTGAAGCTGCAGTCTGCAACTGCCCAGAACCCCGTGGAGCTCAGCTGTGAGCAGGGGCGACGGGGACCCTGCACCTCCAGGGCCTGCGCCCTCACCCTATGTCTGCCCCTGCACCACAGCATCCTGGGCCCACAGCAGTGCCCGCTCAGAGCAGCAGTGCCTGCTCAGAGCAGGTGTGCCATAGCACCAGCGCCTCGCAGAGCTGCCTGCGTGGATGGGGCCAGGCCTGAGGTGATGTGAGTTTGAGTTCAAGCAGTGGGCGCCGGTCCAGGCTCCCCACAAGTCCCCCACAAGTCCCCCCACCTCCACTGCCGCTGGGAGAGCTGAAAGCAAACTTGGAAATCATCAAATCCTTGGGGCTTCTATAGATAGAGAAAAAGTACTGTGTATTTCAAAACAAGTAGGAGAAGGGATTTTTAATGTTTCACTACAAAGAAATAACAAATGGTGGAAAGATGCAATGCCCTACCCCCAGTTTGAACGTGACACAATGGAGACTCGTATGAAAACATCGCAGGGGACTCACCAACAGGTTCAGTTTTTATGTGTCAATTTAAAAATGTACACAATTTTTTTAAAAACATACATGACTTTCTGACAAATAGTTTCTAATATATTTTTGAAAATCGTCAAACCCAGTTCCCTAGGTTTCAGATGAAGAAAGGACGTGAGGCCAGAGAGGCAGGATCACGTGTCCAAATTTAGTTTAATACCAGAAGCAGCACCAGGCTCCCAGCTGGTGGCTCTTCCAACCACCATGAGATGTCCTCAGCTTTGGAGAACTTGAACGGGAAGTTTGGAGGCAGCAGAAGGTGACCCGAGCCCTGCTCAGCTTTGCTGGGGAGGAAGGAATGGGGATTGGGATGAGCTCTGGGGTGAGATGTCTCAATGGGCTTGTCGGGGCCCGACCCTCCTCTTCATAGAACCCTTTGGCTGTCTGCAGCATCTGTCCAACAACCACGCACCCTGCGGCCAGTGTGGCCCTCAGACTCCACACGCTGCCAACTGAGCTAGGAGCTGGACTCAGGGCGCTCCTGCCCTGCTTCCCACCAGCGGCCCCTTTCTGATTTTCCTGCACACTCTGCTGATTCCCACAAGCAACGTTTTTAGTATGCAAACTAGAACAAGGAGGGAGAATCCTATCATTCCAAGAGCCACGTGGCCAGAGGCTTGACCAAACAAGGAAGACTTGGCCACCTTTGGGGACCCAAGCCTAAAGCCAGTCATTCCTAGCCAGAGGCACCCCGATCCTGTCTCAATCTGTCGGGTGCCTACTCTCCTCTACCCCAACTCGCGTTATGGGGCCTTTATAGTTCTTCATTCCGTGCAAGGTCAACCTTGCCTGGGCATGGTTTAGGATACAGAGTCTCCTTAGACACCAGAGAACAAGAGGAAGAATCTGTGCACTGGAAACCAGAAAGTTCTAGAAATCACCAAAGGAGAAGCAGGAATGGGAACTGCCAAGGCGCAGAAGGGTCCCTCTTTAGAGGAAGTGGCTGCGAAGAGTCTGGAAGAAGAGAGCAGCCTGCAAACCCATCAGGCAGGGAACCGGAGAGGCCCAGCGTTGGCCCTGTCCTGGGGCAGCCCAGACACATCCTACATTTCTCAGGAGGAAGAAGGTGAGACTGGCAGTTGTTTGTAACGCTCCTGTCTTGATGATTATGGCCCCTGCCAGGTTGCTCTAGCATACATCATGACCCACAGAGCCGGATCCATGCACTGTGCAGACTAGACCTGGTATTTCAACCCTCTCTGTCCACGGACCGTTCTGTGCTTCCCCTTTGTTCTCCTCTCCAATTTCCCATGTCAGAGACCAAGATCTGAAGAAGTGCACATGGCGATAGGGATGTGGCATTGGGGCCCTTCTAAGAGGCCACCTCTCCCCTGCAGCTCGGGTTTCCTCCTGGATGTCAATTATTGGCTTTTACATAAGAAGGCTAATGCGTTTTCAAAGCAGGCAGATGGCCCCTCCCCATGCTTTGACAGTTTGGCTTTAGTTGAAATATCATTAAACTTTTCGAAAACAAGGGCTTTGAAACTCAATCCCCACACTGTTTACATGTTTTTTTCCCCCTCTTAGAGTTGGGCTCTTCCTGCTGCAGCAGTTAATTCGCCCTTCACCCTCTGCACTCAAAACAAACACTGGCTTGAAGCATTCAGCTTTTCTACCACTGCGTAGCCGAGAGTGGAAAAAATAACATCTGAAACAGGATGGGCTCTCGAGATGCCTCGGGTGACAGGCACTTTTCAAACCACTGCAGGTGAGTCACTGGCGGTCTGTGCAGAGGTCGGCAGAGGAGCAGGAAGTGTGGGTATTTTCAACACGAGGCTGGGGAGCTTCTCAGAGGCCTTAACCCAGCCTCCCCTGGTGACCAGGGCCTTCCTGAGGGTGGCCACAGAGCAGAGTGAGCCCGAAACCATGCCGGGGGCCTACTGCGGCCTCTGCACTCCCTCCCCTGGCTTGGCCTACCTTAGCAAGACCTACAGAATTTATGAAACCCACAGAACCTTTTTCTATTTAAGCCCCAACAACAGCAATAGTCAGAATCCAGGTGGGTTGGGGCATAAGTGTGCCCTAGGGTTGAGAGGCAGCCGAATCTCTGCACAAGTGTGCAAAGAGTCGGTGCCACAAGATGTCCCGGCAGCTCACTGGGGTCTGAGCCTTGTGGCTCCGTGGCCTAAAAGAAATAAATCAAGCAGGGCCCAGGTGGCACTTGCACTTCCAAGCTAAGCCCTTGGCTTCAGTGACAAGCCCTCTGACTCCCATCTCTTGTCTCCAAATGCCAGAAGAAATAGGGAAAAAGGAGACTCAGGAAACGGAACTGAAATGACGTTAGATAAAAGATTAAAACCAGAGGAAGCACTCGTGGGAAGCAAGCCAGATGTTGCCCGAAAGAAGTTGTAAATTCAACCTCGCTTGGTAAAGTGGGAGGCCCGAGAAGACACGAGGGTTCTCCATCACTTGCTTTGAAGGTGGAGGGGCCCAAGGGGGAGCAGTGAACTGCCCAGGGCCTGGGCCACATGGGCCTCCAGCTCTCTTCAGGTGGACGCAAGTCCTTCTGAGCCCTAATGGTCTGGCAGGTGATGGGAGAACACTGGTGTTCCTACGTTCTTGGGCGTCTCTGGGAGGAGGAAGTCGGCCTGGAGCCTCACTGCGCTGTGGGTCCAATACTGTGTGCAGACTCCCAAACTGGTCAGGAGCTACCAAAGCAAACAGCTGCTTCCCAGTACTTCTGCTGCTCCAGAGTCAGCTGCCTTCCAACCCTAGTAGAACCTGAAGAACCAATGGTGAAAGAAAACCCTAGAGTTTTTAATAAGCATCTCCAGAAAAAGGTCAGACTCTTGGTAGCATTGGATATGCTTGGTCTTTCTCGACCAGAGAAAGGTGCACACCACAGAACGGCCTGGTGGAAGGACTGGAGGGGCCCGGAGCCCCACACAGGCAAGCTGAGCACCTGGGCCCAGCAGAGGCAGCACCCAGACACAGGGGCAGCAGCCCTGTGCACAGGTTCCTGCTGCTGCAGCAAAGTGCCATCAACGTCACAGCTTGCACGTCACACTCACTGTCCTTCAGTGCTGCAGGATGACTTCTCCCTGGCTGATAGCATCCAGGGGCCGGCAGGGCTGTGCTCCTCCCTAGAGCTCTAGGGGAAGTTGCTCCGAGGCCCCGCCAGCTTTAGCAGACCTCTCGTGCCCCTTGGCTCCTGGGCTGGCCTCCTTCTTCTGCCAGCCAAATGGCCTCTCTGTGCCACTCTAGTGCCACCCCTAACCCTCTTGCTTCTGTGGTCACACCTACATCTGACTCTCCTTCTCTGTCACCCTCTTCCACTTTCAAGGACCCTGTGATTATATCCTGTCCACCTGGGATGTCCAGGCCAACCTTGCTATCTTAAGGTCACCTGGTGGTCACCTTAATTCCCTTTTCAAACTTACTTTCCATTTGCCATGAGACCTAGCACATTCCCAGGGTCCAGGGATGAGGTCGTGGACATCTTTGGGGACCATTGTTCAGTAAGGCTTTGCAGTGTCCTTTGTCAGTGAGCCTTGCCAACCACTGAGACAGTTTCTTATTCGTCCCATGGTTCAGTGGTTAGAACCTATGACCAGGTCATGGTATCTCCTTGGAGCAGAGATATGGTCAAATAATACTGTGACCACTGCTGCTGCACACACACCAGCCTCCGGGCACAGTTCTGAGCCCCTCCTAGGCATCTTCACAGGAGAGTGCAGACTGTCCATGTTGGTCAGGGCTAGGACCCAGCCCTCTGGACTCCAGATTCGTAACTACTAGGATGAGGAAACTGTAGAGGCCCTGCCCTGTAGACACCAAGGACCAGAGGCCATGTCTCAGCACCTTCCTGGCCCCCTGGCCCCCATCAGTGCTTCCTATGGAGGGAATGGCCTGTTATGTCATCCTGGTAGCCTTGGCCCCTTCTGAATCCTGACCACTTGAAGGTAAGCCCCCGACTGAGGGTTATGAGGAGCTAGAGACAACAGCTTTGTGTGCCCAGCTGAGACCAGCAACACCAGCCAGCTACATCTGAAGCAAGGCCACCTCCCTGCGGGGGCCAGGATGTTCTCTAGAGCAGAGACAGAGGTGGCCCACATGTAGTCCTACCCCTCAAGGGCCCTGGAGTCATCTGAGAAGGGGACAGAGCGACTCACCAAGCCAAGGTGACTGCTCATATGTGTCACCGTCATGATGGTCTGTGGCCTCTGTAGGTGGGACTCCCCACCCACCCGGTCTGTTGGCTTTTCCTACATAGCAGAGGGATGGCAGGATCAGAAGCCAGGACTGGGGTTTGGGGGGTTGCTCCACCAGAGTCCCTTGATTAGCTGAGGACTCTGGTGTCCTTGGTCCAAGGAGCAGTAGCCAGGCCCCAGTTGGCAAGATGAGGAGGGAGCAGGACAGGGGAACCTAACCGCCAAGTTCCGCACATTTCACAAGTTTGTTACAAACCCCAGAAGCGTTGTTTGGTTGCTTAAAAACGATTTAATTTTTGCAATCTCCTCAAGAGAGAGGGTGCCTAAATTAAACCTGACACTTGGGAAACAATGGCTCTGCGATAGAAGGACAGTTCTTCTCACAAGAGGGCAGCAAGCAGGCTTGGAGAGGCACCCATGCCAATGCTGTGGAGGACCTTTGTGCCCTCTTCTGAATCAGAGGAGCAGTTCTCCCACCATGGGCTGGCGCGGTCACCTTCTGGGTTCACCTGGAAATTTAAGCAGCCAGAGGGAAGAGAAGACCTTCCGTTGCAGGGGCCTCCGGCAGCCGGCACTCAACTACAGTTCAGCTGTGGCTCCTGCCTGGTGCCTCTGACAGTTAACTCCTGCAATTGGGCCTTGGCTACCCCCACTGCAAAGGAGGACACTGCACTGACCCTGTGTGTTGATGGGAAGCTGAGGCAGGATGGTCGTGCTGCAAGGTAACCAGCTGACAGAGGCGCACGCAAAACCTCGAGAACAGTAGCTGCTCTCACGCAAAACCTGAGAACAGAATGCTGCTCATTCCACGAAGCCCCACACAAACTACACCATCCAGACGTCCTCTCTTGTCCAGCAGGAGCCCTGCCAGCAGGGCCTCTGCACCATTAAAGCTGCTCAGGTGGATGGCACGGCCACTGCATACCTCCCTGAGTCTTGCATGCTCTTCGCACAGCAGGCAAAGCAGTGCCCAGCGTGGTGTCACAGTTCATTCCTACAGCCAGAGGCCAGGAGGGGCCCAGAGGAGAGCTGTCCACTCCCGTGGGGAGAGGCCAGAGCGTGTCCAGCTCAGCCTCGGGCTCTGGTGGCTGCAAGGCACTGTGGGAGCTTGTGTCTAAGGTGCTCCTACTTAGCTTAAGTGAAATCAATGCTCAGGGGACGTTCCTAGGCAAGCACCAGCCACTGTGCCCATGGGTTCCCCCTAATGTATTTCAGTTCCTCCATCCATCCAGCCGGCGGGCTTTGAGCCGCGGCACTCAATTCACCTATTTTCTGCACACAGGCCAAATACACAGGCAGGCTTGGTGTTCTCACAGGACAGTCTGCCTGGTGCCAAGGAAGTCCACAGGAGTCACCATTGTGTGCTGAGCAGCCACTGTGGGTGGGTGGCCCAGCAGTGGCTGGCACACACAGGGGCGATGGAGGGGGCAGGGAAGCCAGTGAAGTCGGTGTCATGTGGAACCCAGGCATTCTCACAGGAAAGGGTGCATGGCACTGACCTCTCTTGGTCATCTGAGCCCTGCTAGGCATTTCTCTGCCAGAAGCAGCGAGGTGCCGTCAGGATGGCCGAGTGGTCTAAGACGCTGCGTTCAGAAGCAGCGAGGTATGGCATCCACCTGGAAGAGGTCTCTGCTCCAGGCAGGAATGGCACGCACCCACGGGGCCCGGCCTGGCTGGCTACTCGCCATCTCAAATGCCCTAACACAATATGGTGACCCTAGCAAGAGAATCGGGTGGACAGTAGCAACAGCCACCACAGTGCTCGGTGCTGTTTTAAGGTGAGCGTGTTGACTCATCTCACCCACCTAACATGGAATAAGCGCCATTATCCTGCCCATTCTGCTGACGAGGGAGACGAGGCAGGTCAAATAACATGCCAAGGCTGCAAGCTACCAGGACTGGAACGCTTGGCTTCTGACCAGGGTCTGCGCTTGACCTTGGCACTAAGCTGAACAAATATGCCACCTCCTGCGGGTGAAGAAAGGACCCAGCTGCAGCCCCTCACCCGGGCAGAGGGAGGGGGGGAGAAAGGGAGGGAGGCACAGTGATCCCAGGAGGTGTCCGCCCGCAAGCCTCTCTCCTCTCTGAGAGGACCTGGCGAGGCCTTCCTACCACACCAGAAAGACCTACGAGAGTTGGCAGAACAGCCCCCCTCCCCAGTGCCAACCCAGCCGTGTTTTGCAAGCACCGATTACAGTGGGGTGGGGAGGTTGCCTTCGCGGTCATGGTTTCTAACTGCGAAGGAAAGAGGAAACCGGCGTCAGGAAGAGCACCTCTTGCCAACCACGCAGTGTGTGGGGACACCCCAGATCACAGACAGGGTCTTCGGCAGGCGTGGCGCGCTCCTGGCAGGGACAGGCTGACTCTGTGAAGCCGAGGGGCCTCAGGGCTGGGACAATCCCAAGGCCATCTGGGGAAAGGCCGGCGGGAGCAAGGAAGAGAGGACAGCACCACTGTGGGGGCTGGACCCTGTTTGAAGGGCAGCTGGCCACACGTGGTCCTCTGAGCAGTTCTGGGGAAGGGCTGGGGTTCTGCTCTGGGCTCTCAGGAGGTTCCCTCCAGCTATGGCCAGCGCTGCCACTGGTCACCCCTCCAGCAACCAACGCTTGCCCCCAGGTCCAACTGCCGGAGCCAGTGGCCCCTCCCCCAGAACCCATGGCCCAGTCCCTGGAGTTCCTGCCACCCCGTACCCACTTGATCAGCCTCTCACACCTTCCGTGTGTCTTCCCTGTGGTGGTGAGGCCTCTGGGGCAGGGCAGACAGGGGAGGCCACAGGTCCTGCTGGACCCCAACCCCAGTCTGAGTTGACGCCAGGGGATGGGGGATGTGCCTGGGGGTGCAGAAGGCAGAGCACATGGTCAACTCCAGCTCTGGAACACGCACACTGGGACCATGGGTTCGTCATCCTTCCTCAGAAAAATGATAGTCACACTCCCCCAGGGCGTGTGGTGGGTGTAGTGTGAGATATTTGTTCATCTACTCACTATTTGAGCATCCACTATATGTCAGGCCTTGGAAGTGAAAGAATTTAGAAATCAGAAGAGCAACAAATTGGCTGGAGAAAGGGGTGGGGTCTCATCTCAAGGAGCAGAGCTCCTGAGGATGGAGGGTGGACAGAGGAAAGGCCCAAAGGGGAGCTTTCCAGGGGCGTCTGCCCAGGCAGCAAGAAGTGCAGGCTCGGGGGCCTCTCGTGTCAGCAGATGCCAGGTCTCTTGCCTTGGAAGCCTCTGTCAGGTAGCTTGCAGTCACCCTGGAGATCACAGGCCGTCCCTCCTCAGGGCAGCCCCCAGGCCAGGTGAGGTAAGATCACAGTCAAGGAGGGAGGAGACCCAGCACACAGCTTAATTCCAGCCTGTCCCTCCGGCCCCACTCCTGGGGGCTGCATACCTGAGACAGGCCCTGGCTGCATGGCTGTTCTTGGGCTCCTGAGATAGCGCACAAGGCCGCTGGGCCGCCACCTGGAGAACGGGGCATGGAAGGCTCCCAGCCTTCCCAGGACCTCAGAGCTGGTGCCTTCTCAGCTCCGCGAAGCTCCACACATCCCTGGCTCAGAGGCTGAGGGACAGCAGCATCAATCACTGGCCCAGTCTCCACCTCCTCTCCACATGGCAGCCAGGCACCCTCGGGCACCATGCAGGCAGTGCATCAGAAGAAGCCACCCTTCCTCAGAGGTGAGCCCACCTCTGGGACACACCTGCATTCCTGGTGTGCCTCTAGGACAGTGGGCAGAGAGAGAGAGCATCAGAGAGCTGAGGCACCTGCCCTGGGCTGGCCACCGCAGTGCTTGAGGCCAGCAGCTCTGCCCGACTCCTGATCACTGCCATAGCCGTGAGGGAGAATGCGTCATGAGTACCTGTGCCTTGGCCTCCACTGGCTCCGTGGCTGGGCAGTGCCCAACCCTCTGGGTGCCTGTAATGGCTCATCTATAAAATAGGCTCAATAATACACGTGGGGATCAAAACGGAGCCCCAGGTGTGAAGGTGCTTGGAAAGTCCAAGGAGACCAGGACCAGGACCTGTGCGTCAAGACAGGTGACCCACACTGAGCAGAGCAGGGCAAAAGGCCAGAGGTGCGTCAACTGCGTCAACTGGCCTGCTGACAACTGAAATTCCTGGACTTGGCTTTTTCTGTATCCTCTAGCTAGTCCAGGGTACAGCGTTCACCTGTGACCACTCAGTCTCTGACAGCATGTTCCCGTGGCTGTCCTTGACCTCAGGTCCACACCATGCTCCCAGCCAGGAGGCTAGCGTGGCCCTTGGGAAACGGCAGTGCCCAGCAGTCCTGTTAAACACCCCTGGTCTCTCCATGTAGAGTCTGAAAAATCAGCTGGAACCTCAAGCTACCTGGACCTTGTCCCACGGGCATTTTAAAGTAAATTGGACTCTAATCCACAGCATTAGCCCTGCGGCTCTCGAGCTTGGTGATGCTCACCTGACTTGGTGCAAAGCCCCTGTACACCTGGAGGTGCTCAGGCCTTGAAAGGGTGGTGACTGAGCAGGCTGGGTGGGGCCTGTGTGCCAGGCTCCCTCAGGTGAACCCACACTGCTGGCCCTGTGGGTAGGGCCTTAGGAAAATAACAGTCTTCTTGGTAGGAATCTAAGAGGAATGGCACTCTGGTGGTGTTGGGGAGAATGAGGTCTTTGGAGCCAGGCAAATGTTGGTTAAGGTGGCTCCAAGAGGCCTGTGGACAGAGCACGGCAGTCACCTCATTTTGTCCCCCTGCAGCCCTTCCTACTTAGACTGCAAGCTATTCAGTGTGATCCTGGTGAAGAGGGCTGCTGCAGATGACGACCGCCACTCAAGCCCCCCCAGCAAGCCTTTGATGATGACTCAAATTCAGGCACTGCCACTGGCCATCTCTGTGACTTTGGACAGCCACTTGGCATCTCTGAGCTACTGTTTCCTCATTTGTAAGATGGACATAATGGTTCCACTCTGGCAGGGCTCTGTGGGGGACTCAGGAGGGCTGAGCACAAGACAGGCATGTCACGGGCCCTCGGCATGTGCAGGCTTCTTTCTTTCCCTCCATGGCTGGTTCCCAGATGTCTGAGTGGCCTAATGGAATGTCCAGATGGGCTCTCAGATCTGGAAAGCCAAAGAAGAAGGTCATGTTGTGTGTGGGTTTGCTGTGGCTCTTGTTGCCCACGGGCAAGTGTGCTTCAAGAGGCCACATCTGCCCTGCACGTGGTCAGCCCAAGATGCCCAGCAGCTGTGGACTTGAAAGGAGCCGTCTGGGACTGAGCGACAGCAGTACTAGTCCCGTGGGTGAAAAAGCCGTCATGGCAAATGGACGAGCCCAGCCGTTTACTGATGTCCGCAGGCACAGCACCTTCCTGCAGCGGGATTTTTTTTTTTTTTTTTAATACTATAGTTTCTTTTCCCCAAGTTTTTCTTTTTTCCTTCCCTCTTTTTCACAGAAGTCCTGGATCCTGGACAGGATGCAGAGTGGTGTGGCAGGAAACGCTGTAGGCCTGGGCCTAGAACTTGAACCTCCAGAGTCTACCGTGGAGCTCACTGTGTGCCAGGAAACTACTAAATTCACTAACAGCCAATATGATGAGCTTGTTCACTCCAGCTTTTGTTGACCGAGGGAAACCTGAAAGAACCCTGGGAGGTGTCAAGATCATACATGACACAGTCCCAGTCCCTGCATTCCAATGACTTGTCCCAAATAGGAAGCAAAGCCGGCTGAGCTAGATACAGAAATTTGCACAATCACCAGCTGTGAGGTGAGGTGGTGGACAGTAGTCCTCCACACCCTACCTGTGCTTCCCTGTGGGGGACCCACCTGCCCCAGAGAACCCAGGCACCTGCTTCTGCCTCCTGCATCCTTGGCTGAGTCTGCTTCAGCCCAGTGTCCAGCTCTCTATAGCCCTGGAGCATGAAATCTTGGAGACTCCTCTTTGCCACCTGTCTCTTACAACTTCCCATGGATTAGGAAGAAGGAGAAGGAGCCATTGAAACACAGATGAGTTCAAGACACAAGAGAGCATGTTCTCTTCTAGGCAAGAAATGTTTGGGATTTGGCAGAGTCTGAAGTTCATGTTGTTGGATGTGACCATACACCAGCTGCCTCTGCCCTTCCCTAAGGAAGCAAGCATGCCCAGGGCTCTCCAGGAAAAGAAGGCAGTCTCCTGGACAGCATGCGGCTTCTCCTGGCCCATCCTATCAGCACGCAGCTCAGCACCCACCATATTGGTACTCAGTTCAGTAGCACAGTCCAAACACTTTGCAACCCTCTTACCGTAGTTTCCCTAACAACAGATTCCATATCCATGCAGTAGAGTACCATCAATTAAGCAGGTTTTCTAGCAGAGTATGCAAGAGAGTCTTCACCATGCAGCAGGACAGTCTCCTGTCCTGGGCTTTCAGAATCCTCTGCCTCTAGGGGCTGACCACTGGATGCAGAGGTACAAGCAGCGTACCCTGCAGACCCTCCCTTTCCCCCTCACCAGTGGAGAGTCCTCAGCACTCTGGTTCTGCTGCTCTCTGCATGCAGGTACTTGGCTGTACCTGGAGAACGCAAGCCAAAAAGACTCTTTCCCCATCTCCTGTGATTGCAGGCACCTCCTCACCCTCCAGCCAGCGTAGAACCAGCTGAGAAACACTACTAAGACTTCCCTTCATGCCAACAAGGGGCTGCAGCTGGACGGGCAACTCCTGGGTATGATTCCATTGTCAAATGGGATGCCAGGATTCTAGCAAAAGTTGGTCAGGCCCAGAAGACCCTGCCAAGGCCTCTTACAAAGGAGTCTATCTCTAGGCCCAAGGCCATCTCTGGAGGTCTGAAAGAGAATGAGAAAAGTAAGCTTCAGGTTCTCAGTTCACGGACCATGTTGTGTGGTCTGAAAGCCTCTGGATCAGGGAGAAGGCCCCAGGCCAAAATTCCAGTGGAGGCTGCGGGCCCAGATGGATGGCTTTCATTATGGAGAAAATGCATATGAAGTTTAGCGGGGCTTGCTCTTGTTTTAAGAATATTAACAAGGCTTCGTACAGTTGTCCTGACCCTTTAGGAGAATAACTTAGTTAGCACAGCTCTTGGCACTCAGAAAGGAACTCAGTCAATTTTACTCCCTGTGCAGCAATGGGGCCAGAGCTGCCACCTGGGGCCTGATTCCTGAGGGCTGGTGCATTTTGCAAAGAATTCTTCCCCTCCTGCCACTAGGCCTCCTGAGAGTGCTGGCAGTGCCCCCTCCACTTGTAACTAAGTCAATCTCTCCCTTATCACCTATAGTCAACAGGAGAAACCAACTGGGGTGGCTGAGGCAAAGCTGAGTGCTCTTCTCTGGTGTGCTTCTGTGCAGTGCAGGCCAAGCCAAGCACACCGTGGGTGTCACTGTGTGTGTCTCCCTGTGCTGTGCAGGGCTGCACAAACCTCCTCCCATCAGGCAACACCACAGGCCCAGCACCCCGCCCTGCTGCAGTGCCTCCCTCCAGGGGCTCAGAGGCTTCGTCTTCTTTTACGGGGGGTATTGCAGGGAGAGGGGCAGAGGGATGAGAGGCCTGCCTTAAGACCACACAGCAAGTGTGAGCTGGGCTGCGTGGGGCTCAGGTGGCTGACCCCGCTCCCCGCCTCCACTACACAGGCTTCAAACAAGTGCTGGGGGCAGAGCCTGTCCCCCAGGTCACAGTGGTGATCACACTTGATAGCAAGACAAATGCAGACAAAAGTCAAAAGCCATCCAAAGAAAGGCATGTGCAGACCTGGCCCACCCCTTGAGAGCAGAGCACAGGACAAGGGCCATAGGGAGGGCCGTGACAGCTCTGAGGTACACGCGCTGCTGCCACTGCAGAGCCCCAGAGAGACCCATCCTGTCCCGTGCCCCTTCCTTGGTATTCATGGAGGGAAGCAACAGTAATGGTGGAAAAAAGCCAATAGGGAAGTTCCCCTCCTACTGACCTTGCTAAAGACGGCCACACCCACTAACCGTTAAGGACTGATTCAACAGCGTTACAGGATGAAAAGCAACAGTTTAGTACTTTTAACTACATTTCAGTTGTATTAACAGGGTTTTAAAAAAAGAAAATGCATTTCTATTTACACACTTGCCGTTGAAGTAATGAGTAGACAAGGCCTTTGCTCCCAACACTTTGCTTTTCAACTTGCCCATGATCTTGTCTTCCTGTTGGAGGTATTACAGCCAGATGTGTCCCTTCACCTTGGCTCCTGGCTGATCAAAGCATGCTGTTAGTTTCATTTTTACTTTGAAAAGTGTCTTTTACACAGTCATAGATAAAGAGTCATGAACATCTTAAGAGAATACACATGGCAAAGGTTCATAAAAATCTGATTTCACAATAAATTCTAGAAAATGCGACACTGCTCATATCTTTGTCTTTTCAGATTGAGCCTGTTGTCTTTCAAATGTCTCCATTGCAGAAAAAAATCATAAACACAAAAACACTCCACATGGTCACAGATTGGCAGATCTGAAGGAGCCTGGTTTTCATATAAAGACACAGAGAGGAATAACACGACAAAACATACGAAAATAAACCAAACTCAGAGCTTCAAGAAAGAGGTGAGCAGGAGAAGCTAAGCTGGGCACGGAAACGCACCTCTGTCTCCACACACTAATGTAGTTGCTGTAGTTGAGCAGGAAATTCACGTTTCCTGGATGCCTAAGGGATAAAAAAGCTGTGGCCTTCTTGGCATTCGGAATGGCAGGAGGGCAGCACCTTGGAGAGCCTGGAGAATGACCCTCCAGAGCCCAGGCACAGACTTCTCCTTGGAGGCACCAAGTCCACAGAGGGAGGTCAAGAACCTGATTCAAGCACTCTGATTCTGTTGTTCATCACATACGGTTTCAGACCAGGAAACTATGAACCTGGAAAGAGTCCCGTTAGCTAGGAAGCAATCAGCAGAAAGTAAGTGCCATGAAAGATTAATTTTATTAAGAAATTGGGCAATTCTTGCTTAGCACTGTTATGGTTTAGATGTGAGGTATCCCCCAAAAGCTCATGTGTGAGTGCAAAAAACTTAGAGGTGAGAGGATTGTGTTATGAGACGCTTAACCTAATCAGTGCATTAATCTCCTCATAGGGATTAACTGGGTGGTGACTGCAGGCTGGTAGGTATGGCTGGAGGAGGTGGTCATTCGGATATGCCTGTGGAGCTTATGTTCTGACCATGATGAGGGGCACTCTCTCTGCCCCTGCCCCCTGCTTTCCGGGTGTCATGTCCCCATCTGCTTTTCTCCGCCACACTCTTCTGCCATGATTTTGTGCCCCATCCCAGACCCTGAGCAATGGAGTTGGCCATCTATGAACTGAGACCTCTGAAACCATGAGCTCCCAAAATAAACTTTTCCTCCATTAATTGTTCTCTTCAGGTCTTTTGGTCACAGCAGTAAATGCTGATTGAACTAGCACGTCATAGGCTGAGGTTGGATTAGTACCATTATGATTTAGATGTGAGATATCTCCCTTGGCAATGCTTACTCCAGAGAACTAGGTCAAGAAGAACAATGACCACAGTCAAGAAGAGCCCTGGGCAGCAGGCTGGCTCAATGTTCCTTGGAAAACCATATTTGGGGACCCCTCCCCAAGACAGCGGCTCCACCTGCCACTGTGGCCATGACTCTGGCAAGGTCCTGGCTCCAGGGTATCACCCCTGGTGATAATGGGCAACAGGCCTCTCTCTCTCAGATTCCTTTCCTGCCAACAATCCTGGGTGATGTGGATAAGATGATCTTTAATCATCAAAAACTATTGAGGAGCTAAATCCCAAGAGGGAGACGGATCCCAGCAGTGGCTCAGAAACTGAGAAGCTGAGCAGAGTTTCCAGGAGTTTTATTGGGTAAGACATAGGAAAAAAAAAGTACCAAATAATGGAATCCCGAGTTCAGCAAGGGAGAGGAGCTTGGTTCAAAACCTCAGACTTTCTGTTGCGACTCCCCAGAGCTCTGCTCCAGGAGGAGGTCAGCCTCCAAAATGATTGAACCATTTGAAGAGCTCAGTCCTTGACCAGACTAAGGTGATGTAAGATGAAGCAATACATTTCTAAACAACCCATGAGCCAAAGTAGAAATCACAATGGAAATTAGGAAATATTTTAATGAAAAGATAATAAAACTAAAATATATCAAAACTTAAGGGATGCAGCCAAAGCATGCTTAAGAGAAATTTATAGCCTTAACTGCGTCATTAGGAAAGAAGAAAGGATGAAGAAACAATGCACTAAGTTTCCATCTCAAGATTTTAATATGAGAACAGCAAATTAAACCCTAAGATAGTACAGGAATGGAAATAGTGAACAGCAGGAACTAATGAAGTAGAAAACAGTGGGAAAACACAGGAAACCAACAAGGCCAAAGATTATCTTTTTAAAAAGTCTAATAAAATTGATAAGTTCCTGGTCTGATTTTTTTTTTAAAAAAGGAAAAGCCACAGGGAATCAATATCAAGAGGTAAAAAATGTATAAATAAAGCCTATAGCTATTAACTAAGATAAGAGATTGTTCCAAATCAATTTATCATAAAATTTTAAAGCCTAGATGAGACAAATTTCTTGGAAAACATGACTTATTAAACCTGACTCATACAAACAAAAAAGAACATCTTATTTGGCTAAATCTCTTAAAGAATCAGAATCTCTTAAAGAATCAATATATTCATGTTTTCACAAAGAAAACTCCAGGCTAAATGGCTTTACCAGTGAATTCTTCCAAACAGTTAAGGATGAAGTAACATTAATCTTGCAAAAAGTCTTTCAGAGAATATAGAAATGACTTTTCACACTTAACATCAAAACCTGACCAAAAAGAAAAGAAAAGAAAATTACTGGACATTTCTTTCTCCTGATCATGAATGTTAATCTTAAACAGAATATTATCAAACTGAATCCAGCAATATGTGAGAAGGACAAATGCATCATAACCAAGATGGGACTTATTCCAGGAATGCAGGATTATCTCAGTGTTCAAAAATCAAACAGTGTAACTTACCACAGGAACAGAATCAGTAAGAAGAATCAATATATTCAATTTATTCAGAAAAAGCATTTGAAAAATTCAAAGTCCAGTAACAAAATAAAGAAAAAACACTTTTAGGAAACTAGGACTAGAAGGGAAATTGCTTAATATAGAAGTATCTACAAAAATGATTCCAGCAAGGGTTACACTAAGTCTTCAAATATTGATCACTTTTTCCCAATATTGGGAAAGAAGAATATTCCCTATCTCCACTTCTATTCAGTATTGTACTGGAGAGGATAGCCTTTGCAATAAAGCAAGAAAAAAATATAATTTAAGGAATGCCATGAATTACAGATTTCATCATTGCAATATGTAGAAAATACAAAATAATTGACATTAACACTATCAGAATTAGTGAGTAAATTAAGCAAAGTTGTTGGATCAAGAGTGTCAATATACAAAAGTCAATTGTATTAAAAGCAGAGTCCATAAAAATATCATTCATTAATAGAACTACAGTAACATTTGACCTTCTTTTCATCAAAGACACAAAAAGATAAAAAGGAATGGCATGGAGAAAAAGATGTTTCCAATCTTTATAACTAACAAATGATTCATATCCAGAAAACATGAAGAACTTCTGAAAATCATCAAGAAGAAGATATTTTTACTTCCCCATATTGATTCTTTGTTAATTTTCCTTTTTAAAAAATCAGGCCAGGAGCTTATCAATTGTATCAGGAGCTTATCAATTGATATTTGGCTTTTTTGGTTTGGTTTACCATTGGGGGAAGAAAAAAAAAAAAAAACAGCAGAAGACCTAAATAAACTAATAGATCTCTAAATACCAAAAAATTTGAAAAGGTGCTCAGTTTCATTAATTGTCAGAAAAAACACAAACTAAAAGACATTTCTCAGAATGCAGAAAATTTTAAAAAGCAACCATATCAAGAATTGGTGAGGCTGTATAGACCCCTGAGAGTGAACTGGCAGAGCCTTTGGTAACATTATTTAGTGGTCTCACTGGGCTGAACGTCTGCACACTTCATAACGCAGCACTTCCGTTCTTTGGTATATACCGTGCAGAAACACTTACACAAAAAGACATATTTTAGAAAGTTCCAAGCAGCATCATTTGTAAAAGAACCAAATCAAAATATACCCAAGCAACCAACAGTGGCGGGTGGGGTGGGGATATGTAAACAAATTGTGATACATTCATGCTACAGAGTTTTATAGCATGAAAAATGCAAAAATGACTTATATCCTTAATAACACTAGATCAACCTTAAAGACATAATACTGAATTTTTTTTTTAAAAAGCCTGACAAAAAGAACACCTACTGCATGATTGCATTTTTGTAAAATTCACAAGCACACTGTCTGACCTCTGGTGACGAAAGTGGTCCCCACTGCAGTGGAGGAGGGCCTGGGAGAGAGCAAGGGCTTCCCTGGTGCAGGCAGCATCCCCCTGTCACCTCAGGTGCTGGTTACACAGGTGCATCCACATTTGTGATCATCCACTCAACCAAGGCACAGTTGTCTAAACCTACATCCCCTGGACGCTTATTTACCAGCTAGCTATGAGACGGTAGCAGGTTCCTCAACTGTCTTAGTCTGTCCTCATCTAAAAAGCGAGTGTAAGAGAAACTACTACAAAGGACTGTCTGGAGATATGCATGAAGTGATGCAGGTGACAAGCTTAACACGGGACACCCCTGAACAACAGTAGCTCCCTGTGGTCCCTGTCAGGACCTCAGCCACTTGGCTATTTACATATGGGACCCTCAGGCTTTGGCTCCTCTTAAGTACCCATCGGCAGCAAAGCTGGGATTTTTCCATTCCCAAACCGTGTTCCCAGGCCCTGGCCCACGCACCCCCCAAAGGCCCTGCACCTGCCTATGGAGGAGCATGAGTACTGACCAGGCTGCCTGTGGGTGGAGACTGAGCTCTGCCATCCAGAGGCGCTCAGGCCTCTGCACTCGTGTCCCAGGGCCAGGCCTTCAAAGGTCCTAGGACAAGGAAATGGAATCATTAGATCCAGAGGGGTTGAGAGCAGACCAGTGTAGGCACCAACCTCAGAGAAGGAAGAGCATCCGAGGCAGATCCAGCCTTGGGCTCACAAGGAATGCCTCCGCCACCGTGTCTGTCTCTGGTGGCAGCCAGAGCTGCAGACTCCTCTTTCTGCACCCCCACGGGGCTCTGCGGGCTCAGCTGCTTTTCCAGAAGCCCTGGAGGTGATGAATTCTGGGCTAAAACTCCTGTTTGTCTATCTGCGGTTTCAAGGCTCGTGTTGCTCTTACTCTTGCCCCCTGGACTCTGAGCTCCCTGGGAACCCGGCTGCCACATTGCTTCTTCCCTTTGAGAAGCAACATCTTCAAACATGGAACTTGGCTACATCTTTCCTGATTATAAAAATCTTCTACATTTTAACTAAACATACTGATTCCTGGGCTCAACCCAGCCCTACCAAATGGTCTCTAAAGACGGGGCCCAGGAATTTGTAGGTTTACTGCGTGATTCTTATAATCACTCACATCAGGAACCCTGCCCCGCCCCCAGCAGTCCCTGTAGATTCCTGGACTCAAGGGCACATTTCCTCCTCCATGGTCCTCCATGCCATGTGTGCAGGCTCAGCCCCTGGAGATGGAGGCCCCGAGGGCCTCGTCTAAGTCCTGATGTCAGCAAGTTCCAGAGCTGTCGCCAGGCAGGTAGTGTTCCTCACCCTCAAAAGACTCAGGGAGAGGGTCCACCTGCTTCCACAGGTCTGACCATCCAACGGGGCCCTAGGAAGGGCCCAGCCTCCAGATGAGAAAGACTCCACGAGAGAATGAAGGAGTGAGAGAGGGAGTGAGTGACCTGTGAGGGGCGGTGCTACAGACAGGGGACAGTTCCATTAAGACTAATTAGGAACAACTGTCAGCTCTTTTTTAAAAAAGAATGAATCCCATAAGGTGTGAGGCTGAGATCGTGTGAAGTGCAGCCCAGTGCGGAGGCGGCGCCCAGCCAGGAGGACTCTTCCCGGCTGGCATCTGTGCTGACCCTCTGCTCCGTCTGCTGGCTGCCTGGAAGGGCATGCTGGCCATCTTCACTCGGTCTCGCCTTCTTTTGTCCCTCGCCACATTGTTGGATTGGGACTGCCAGGGAGCAGAATTTAGTGACAGCTTTCAGGTTTGACTTGCCAGTGAGCACGTTTGGCTGGGTGTGGCGTTTCAGTGGTGTAGCTGGCCCGTGGCCTTGAAGTTCTGGTGTTCAATGAGCTCTCTGCATTACCCAAATGGCCTCCGGCACGTGTCATCCCACAAACCAGGATGAGTGTGTGTGTGTGTGTGTGTGTGTGTGTGCATG